CATACCATTCTGCATAACCGTTCTTTGTCCCTCAAGAGGAATAGTTGTAACATGGCCAGTTTTGGAGACAAACGTGGCCACCATTTTTTTTGCAACACTCCGTAAACGAACAATTTTTGTTGGCTTTAACATTTTCGAACACCTAAACTCGTGACTGGTTTTTTGTTTCGGGTTCATACGCGTATATCCAGGATTCGTCACCTGATACAATGTTGTATACAGCATTTGAGGATCCTGCGTGGAATCTTTCGAGAGTTCTGACGCACCAAGTAACGTGAGCCGCTTTTTGCTCTTCACAGAGCGAATGCGGTATCCATCGGGAAAACAACTTTTTTACACCTAATTGTTCATGCAAGATTATTTGTATTTGACTCATGCCAATATCTAAAGTTGCCTGAATTTCGCGGTATGTCACATGTCGATCTTCCTCAACCAGCTTACGCACAGCATCAACGTTTTCTTGGGTGACTGCAGTTTTTGGACGACCTTGACGGGGATCATCACTGAGCTTGACACGTCCACGTTGAAATTCAGCAAACCAGCGATAAATTGTGGTTTTGAAGCTCCATCTTCATCACCAAATGCAGAAATCATCCGGTCAACACACTGTTTTTGTGTTAAACCACTTCGAAAGTTATAATAAATCATCGCTCTTGAATTTTCTCGAGTCAATTCCATTTTCGCAACGACTAAACAAGTTTGACAAAACCTTGTGACAAGACCGAGAATCTTTTTTTAAATAAATAAATGGTATTCGATTTTTAAAACCAAGGAGTTTTCAATTAAAAAGATTTTAATATGACAGGAACAGTGGAAATATTCCATTACCGATACTTTTAGTGCAGCCTAGGTACCCTATAGGTATTATAATCCCGCGGGTGCCGCAAGAGGCGACAAAAGGAAACTGAGGCGGGAGATGGCAACAGCATGTTTCTGATAACAACAAAATATTGTTATTTTGCTGTACAATAAAAAACTATGGTTGCCAACCCGCTCACCAAGTGTGGCAACTATGGCAAATATGAGCCAAATCACAAACAAACGGCACCTAGTCCCAGGCAGCCCTACTTTTTCTAGCTACGGTGGCAACCATGGTAGCGGCGGGACAGGGGATGCTAAGAATCTCTGTTAGAGGTTCAGTTGCCAACGAACACGACTCAACCTGGCAACACATTATGTACGGACACTAAGGACTGACGACAAGATCCTGGAGCTGGAAGAAGTTTGAGTTGTGCCCGGATCTCGAATAATAGGATTATCTGAGATCCGGGGATGACAAGGTGATCCTCGAATCCGACAACTAGTTCTATCACCAGGAGGGTGACCATCTGACCCAAGGAGATGCTGGATTAACCATCCACAAGTTCCTCCTTAACAAAGTTTTAAAGATTGGGAGTGTGTTGATGAGAGTTGCGCACCTTATACTCAGAATTACCAAACGGTATTCGTGATAGGTCATACAGGTTTACGCACCAAACTTGGAACGTCTCAATGAAGAAATGGGGATATGTATAAAGATATCTCTAGTCCATGCATTCGTCCAAAACCCACTATACGGTCTTAATGGGGACAACTAGGCGCTAGAGAGAACGCTGTGTTGAAAGTAGGGAAATTTGGGATAGCGCAACGTAATCCAAGGGTCTAGCAGCTGGTCGATTTCATGGAGAAGGGGGGGACTCTTTGTGATAAACTCTTTCATTAATAAATTCTCTTCCAGAAGCGGCACGATAGGAAATGGACCTTGTCGAGCCCCGACCCTATGACAAAAAATGGGATTGACTTTTTTATGACGACTAGACGGCAACTGTTCAGTGATGTCTCAGTGATTGTGAGAGTAAAAACTGACAGCTATCACCGAATGCTGAGAGGCAAAAGAACACAGAAAACTCACCGATCACTTTCTCAATCTCGTGGCTATTAGACGGGAAATGAATCTGCAGTCTGCAACAGATTTGAGAACATATCGGCAACTGAACAGACAGATCTCCAAACGCATGCGTCGGGACTTACCCAACTTGAGAGGTTCTATGGGCAACTGTATACGTGATCGTCGGAGCCCCACGCAAGTGTGTGCAAACAATCCAAGTGTAAAACTTATCCAATACTATTCCGATGATATCCCGGATGTTAGTCAGAATGGCTCTCCAGCACCTTAAATAAGGTAAGACCCCTGGCGAGCATGGAGTTACAGTGGAGCTTCCGAAAGTAGGTGGAAATACAGTAGGTACTTGAAGTCTTTCAGAAGCTCTTTAATTCCGTCTTCCATGATGGCATTACTCCGTAGGCGAGGAGCAGAAGTGCAGTGGTCTTATTCCTCAAGAACGCTCTCTTGAAGGACCACAGACCGATTTCCCTTCGAAGCCGCGTCTACGTGCTGTTTTCGAGAGTCGTTACGAATCGTCTCGCACGCAGAGTCGGCGACTTCTGATTTCCGAACAAGCGGGCTTCTGAAAAAGGCTTACACTGACCACATATCCTCCTACCCTTCTTATCCTCATACCCTTCGGCAAATGATATTCAGTGGACCGGTCATATTTCTACTGTTGTGGCAAAACTGAGTTCTACTGCATTTGCAGTACGTAAGACAATAATAATTAGACAGTTAACTGTTGCGGAAACTGCTCGCATATTTAATAATTATTTGTAAGGAATATATATATATATATATATGTATATATATATATATATATATGTATATATATATATATATATATGTATATATATATATATATATATATATATATATATATATATATATATGTATAGTAAATATAGTGACAGACATGATCTTAATATTAGAAACTAAAATAAACTTGTAACACCATTGTTTAGAATAATAAAAACTCTAAAGATATATTTACATAAATTCAAAAAGTAAGTACATATGTAGAAAACGCTTTGGTAAGAAAAGCGTATTGTATAATTGACAATTAGGTACACAATGCCTACTCAAACGCATGGTCATTTGAAAGTAGACAAGTTTCTCACAGAATATAAAACAAATGATATTTAGTGTTATATTAATAGATGATTATTAGTTGTACTTATCTTGCAGGGGACAATCACCATATGGTATCAATTGCTGATAATACTTCTCTAATTTTCAAACTCAAACGGCAGTCAATTAATTTGAAAATGTAAATAATGCTCTATCGAAATTAGTACATTGGTTTAACGCCAACAATTTGCTCTTAACGGCAATAAATCAAAACGTATTAAATTTACAATGTCTAACGTCAAACATTCGAACGCCATTGTGCTCTTGACATGAGAGGAGTTCTCTTAAATAAGTAAAGAGTAAGTTAGAGAAAAAATTAAAGAAATAAACACATTAACTTAGGTATCGCAATTTATCAAAATGTAATGTACATAAAAACATAAATAGCTTTCATAAGAATAAAGATGTTCATACTTTAAACACTAGGAACAAACATAAGCTTGTAATACCAGTTACTAGACTCCACAGAATAAGTATATAATTCTTTTATGAAGCAATGTATACGCATATTGTTTTTTTACCAACAAAACCCCAGAAAATGTACAAAATTTGTGAATTAACAAGATAAAATGTTTTATTAAAGAAAAATTGTACAAAAGTATTATTATAATATCAAAGAATAGATCAATGAAAAAAACCTCTAGGAATAACGTCATCGCCACCATGCTGGTTCTATAAAAAATTCATTTAAAAATTGCATAAAAAGATTATTGAAAAGTGAAATATGTTTAAAAAAAGTCCCGTTGGCTTTGTTGCTGGTTCTTCTGACGGCAGAGGTATTTCCCGAACCTTTGTCTTCTAGTATACGGAATACATTATAATGGTCGACTATTTAATCCAGAGTTCCCCAAACTTTTTTGTGTCGTAGATCCCTTGCCATGTTTTTCCGTGTTGGGTAGACCCCCTACTTACCTGATATTGATTTCCTGTAAATTTCTAACTGTAGTGAAGTTTAGTGTTAAAAACTTAAAGTAAAAACACATGTTAATTTATACATTTATCAATTGAGTTTACATTAAAATTACTCAAAATAAAATTTTGCATCTGTAAAATTTAAATAAATATAAAATAAACAATAAACCTTTTATAAATAATGTATATGTTTTGATATTATAAGATAGTATGATGTAAGTATATAGGTAGGGGGAATCCGGGAGACTTGAACCCCCTTTTACAAAAATGACTGTAAAATCTTACTGATTTCTTGTAGATATCTCAGTCTTTAACACTTGGATTGCTTAATTCAATAGGCTTCGATTAGTGGTACAAATGTTATAATAACTTTTATCTACTAAGAATTACGGAACTTTTTTTAAAAAGTCAGAAATGGTTCAAATCTCCCCAACCCATGGGACATTTGACCATAGGGTTGGGGAGATTTAACCATACTTTCTGTTACTGGGAAAACAATTTAAATATCAAAGTTTTTGTCATTATTTTAATCAATTAACAAAACGTAAAAACAGTTTGACATTTTATGAATGTCACTTACTCTTAATTAACCGTAATTATAAAAAAATCAATAATCAGTCTTAATTATAATAAGGCACTTATTTATTACTTACAAGACAATAACATCGTGATTAGAGATCAAGGTCAGTCAAAATTGTTTGTGGCACTTATATCCACCCTTAAAGTATTTTTATTGAGTTAATCACATTCTGGACACATGAAGTTTTCAGAATCGTTAATAGTTAGACCTACACATTCCTCGTGGACATACCTTTTACAAGAAATACAAAGACACATATCCAAGAGTTCTTCAGTACCACAAATAAAGCAATACCAACGAGTATCCAACTCTGGTACTCCTTCCCCTTCCCAGTCACCGTCATTAGAGCTATCAGCATAAGGAATACAATCGTCATAATTTTCTTCAGATTCACTGTCAAGCTAACGTGCGAGAACGTTTCTGTTGTTTATTTATTTTCCTTTTTTTGGTTTTTGCTGGTCCTGTATCTTTGTTTCTTTTTTTTATTTTTCCCTTGCTTTAGTTTTTCTTTCATTTTATTAGAATCTGCTTTAAAATCATCGTCACAATCTGTGTCATTGCTCTTTTCTTGTAAACTTGCCTCTTTGCTTTTTTTGTGTCTACCTTCTTTCCTCTTTTAATATTCTTCTTAGCTTTAGTTTTTGAGGACTTGTCACCTTTGGCCTTAGTTGTTGTTTTCTTAAGAATTTCATTTGAATCATTTGTAAAATTTTCAGGAGTTTTTGTTAAAATTTTTGTTTTTCCAGGTTGTCGTCCACGCCTTGTTGTCTTTTGGGGTGCAGCTTTTGGATATGGCCTTATTATTTCTGGTGTCATAGTTACTATTTTAGTAATATGGTCCGGAGTTTGCGGAATATCCAGCTTTTGTGTCAGTGTAGGTGAATTTGGAGGATAATAATAATTTATATCAGTCTCTTGGCACTGATGAAAAGAAACTTCTAAATTACAATTTAATTTAGCCATGAGAGCCAATTTAGTGAGGCAACAATTCACCAGGCTCTCAGGATAAACTTTAGAACAGTTGAGTGAATTTGGTTCAGACGATGGTGCATGTGAAAAGCTTTTTAAGACTTTGTCAGAGGTTTGCGGACTTTTCTGAGCTGGAGGGTTTAGTTGGTTATTTGTTAGAGAAACAGTCACTGAATCCAGAAGCGAAACATTATTTAAATCAAGCACGGAACTAGATGGAGGGTCCTGAACTTCATCATTAGGGATCTGTTGAGATGTTGACAGAATTTCCTGATCAACGTCGTTGAAGCTTTGCGAAAAATCTGGTGGATCTTGCTGAGCGCTGAGACAAGACAAGCTGAGCTTGGCGACATTGAGACGAACTACTGGGAAGTTCATAATTTTCATTGGATATATCCCTATCTGTTACAGCAGAACACATGAAATCTTCATCACTGAATAGATTATCATTATAAGCATGTATTCGCGATTTTTCGAATCCGCTTAAAATGTTGCCTTGGCTGAATGCTTGCGACATAATCGTTTTGATGAATCCAGGAATTTGGTATATCGTTACTGTCCTTCCAGGATTTGAAAGCATCCAGTTGCTCAACGCAGTATTATATCTCGATTTAAATGACGAATATACAGCGATATCCAAAGGTTGCAACTTATTGCTGCAATGGGGCGGAAGTGTAAGCAATGTGATGCCGTTGGATTTTGCATAACTTATCACTTCGATGCTCACATGGCTTTCGTGGTTATCAAGAATTAATAACACGGGATTATCTTTCGATGCATGGGAGTGCTTTTTAAAATGTTCCATGAATTTTAGGAAGCTCTTGGCAGTCATCCAACCCGTAATGTATGAATCTCCATCAGACCCTTCAGGTCCCCCATTAACAAAGTCAGGTCGGTATTTAACACGCGGAAATATGAAAAAAGGAGGCATGGCATTTCCAATGGCGTTTACAGCGAAACAGACTGTAACTAGAGTACCTCTTTCAGCGGAGGTGGCATGTCCTACTTGCTTGGCTTTTTTTACTTGCCAATACTTTGGGGCATTGTTGGACAGTATTACAGTCAGATTCATCACAATTATATATATTTTGTGGCTCAAATTATACTTTTCTCGCACTTGTTCAAGTTTTCGTATAAGTCTGTTACATTTTTTTTGTTGAAACTTGTAGCTCTCGACAAACTGGTGGCTTCAGGCGTCCTTAAGCTTATTTCCGGGTTTCTAGCTAAGAAACCTTGGAACCAATCTTTTCCAGCAGAATTGTTATTTGTCCAACTTCGAGGTATTTTTTTATTATTTGCTAGAGCATAATCAAAGGCTAATTGCATGGATTGTTTTCTCGTTAGTCCATAGTGCATTTTACTGCATATCAAAAGGTAGTTTACTAATTGCTTTTCCCTATTGTCAAAAATCTGCGAGCTTTGTACTGACCACCTTTTTCTTCTATTTTATTTAATGTCGCTTCACCGCGAACATGGTACCTTCTTAGAGTCGTTCAATCAATTTCATATTTAATGGCTGTTTTTCTAATAGAAGCACCTCCCTGAATCTCACTAATAGCTTGCTCAAGGTCACGTTTTGTAAATTTTCTGCGACGGGTAGTGCCTTGGGGTTTGTATTGAAACAGCATCTTTGTCCTGGAATATAAAAAGTGCACTTAACTTAGCAACAGTTAACAGACGCAGCTGTAGCCACTGAAGGCAGACTTGAACCAATGGTCATATCTCCCACTCAGATACCACAATTTGCAACTAAATGCCATTGTACACATATTCAAATACGATAATCATGGGATAATATAATAAAACTAAATCTTACTTACCTTCATTAATCGATTCACAGCGATCAAAACAGTTTTTCTATTTTTATTTACTTGAGAATGAGATAAACAGGTATATGCCGGTCAAGATCCAACGCGTATGAATTTTGCCAAAATGGCTGAACGCTCGTGATTAGCTGCCACCTGATCACCTTATTAGTGGGCAATCAGGCCGTTAGCGCGAAAATTCAAATGAGAAATCAGAGTCGGTTCAAGTCTCCTCCCTGGGCAAGTCTCCCGGATTCCCCCTACTATCAGTGTACGTGTTGAGATCCACTATCGTGGACCCCATTTTCATTTCATGGACCCCCAAATTTGTTTTCGCTGACGTAGACCCCTTGTAGGTTGTCATAGACCCCTAGGGGTCTATATAGACCACTTTGGGAATCACTGATTTAATCAGAGGATAAATAATAGGCGGAGATTATTACGCATCATTAAACAAAAAACTACGCGAAGAACTACAGAATAAACGTCGAGAAAATTGCGTGCTGGAGTGCTTGTCCACCATGATAATTCCCTTGTTCATCGATCTGGTGTTGCAGGCGCTATCATCCGAACTGCTGGATTTCAGTTGATGCAGCACCCAGCACCCACCATAATCTACGGACCAAACTCCGAGTGAATTTCCCCTTTTTACTCACCTGAAAAGCACTTGCGTGGTACAAAATTCGACGGTGACGATGAGGTGATGTGTGCTGTAAAGGCCCTTTTTCCAAGGGGACTAATCAACTGTAAAACGCTATTCAAGGTGTATTAGCTTAAAAGGCGATAACGTTGGAAAAATACAATTTGCATATACTTATCCTAGAGTTTTCAATAAATATTACTGGCAAAATGTAAAAAAAAAATATTCTATTCTTTATTATAAGAATAGAATATTTTTTATTTAACATTTTTTAAGGCGGATCGTAGCTCATAATTGAACATCTTTAGTACAACGGATTTCCGCAAAGAAACGCCTGATCCTATTAATTGTTCTTCCTCTTGTTAAAAGTTTACTAAACGTTGGTCTCCTCGAGGTTGGGTGATTTGCTAAAGTTTCTACACTACATGTCTGATCTTCTCATCATCATCACTATTATTACAGCACTTCACAAGTCATCACCGAAGTGCCTCAGTTAGGGCATGCTCTCCGACCATCTGGATACCCAAATTAAAATTTTAATAAAAATATTATACCTATACGGATATCATTAGTTTCGGATAAATCGAATGCTACGAATAGTACATAAGCACTCACGCCTGTCACCCAGAGGGGTAGGCAGAGACTACAGACTTCCATTTGGCACGATCCTGACACACCTCTCTTGCCTCCTTCACATCTATACACCTACGCATACATGCTCGTCGGTTAAGGGTACTCCTAATTTGGCCCATTTTCAATAAATCGCCAATTTGGTCGATAAATTTTCGCCTAGAACGTCCCTTTCCGACTCTGCCATTTACTTCTGCACAATAAATTTTCTTTGTCACTCTTTCCTCATTCATTCTTTCCACATGACCAAACCACCGAAGCATTCCTTTCTTAATCCTGGTCACAACATCATCTTGCAAACCACACTCTTCTCTTATTACACAATTTCTTACCCTGTCATTCAGATTCAGCCCTAACATACTCCTTAACGACCGCATTTCTACTGCGTTTATTCTACTCTCGTGCTTCTTCTGCCACACCCAACTTTCACTACCGTACATTAAAGTAGGGGATCAACACAGCATTGCGAATTGCCATACGTGAATTTTTCGACACATTTTGACTCTTCACAATAGAATGCAGGGCCCCATTTACTCTATTTCCCGCATTCACTCGTCGTTCTATATCCTTATCATATCTCATCACACCACCTCTCCTCCTTTCTATCCACCTTTTTTTTTTCTCAAAAACCCCACCCTTTTTTCCTCCCTTTAACTCCTTTTTTTAAAACCCCACAAACCCGCAACAACGCAACAAGACCCCGCCCACCCCCCCCAGAACACCCCCCCACCCACCGGGCCACCCCCCCCTGCCCCCCCTTTAAACACCCCCCCCCCCCCCCCCACCCAACACCATGAGTTCAGTGTTTGTCATAGCAAATCCCTATCCACTCTGTCATAGGCCCTTTCCAAGTCCATGAACGCACAAAAAACCTTTTGGTTTTTGGCCAGAAACTTCTCCGCGATCATGCGCATGGAAAAGACTTGATCTGTACATCCCATTCCCTTTCTAAATCCCGCTTGCACTTCCCAAATTTTTCCATCAGTTTCTTTCACGACCCTTTCAATCAGTACCTTAGCATACAGTTTTCCCACAATGCTAAGAAGGCTGATGCCACGGTAGTTTTTACAGTCCTGCTGCGACCCTCTTCCTTTATATACTGGGACTATCACGGCTTTGCACCAGTCTACCGGTACCCGCTTCAGTTCCCAGCATAAATTAAACAAGGTGTGCAGCAGGCCTGCCACCACTTCCTCTCCAGCCCTTAGCATTTCGAGTGAAACTCTATCATATCCGGCAGCCTTACCTGCTTTCATGCTTTTCATTGCTTTCATTATTTCATCTATACTTATCTCGCTACCTCTTTCTTCTTCTTTCGGAGTTTCAACATTCTCATGTATATCATATAATATAATATCATCTTCAATTAGTACACACGTTGTCTCCTCACTCACAAACACGCTTTCAAAATATTCCTTCCATCTCTTTAAACTCAAAACTTCATCATTCAGAATATAGCCATTCTCGTCTCTTATAGCATTCATCATAGGCTGTTTTGAATGTCCCCTGGCAGTTCTTACAAGTTTCCAGAATATTTTAATATTTGCCTGGAAGTTATCCGATATTCTTCTATCATTCTTATCCATTCTTTCTTGCTTTTTTCTTTCAACTACTTCTTTTACTCTCTTATTAAGATGTCTAAAGACTGCCTTTTTTCTTTCAATATCACCATTCGTACCACTAGAATTAGCAGCTTTTGTTGTTAGTAAATCTAGCCATGCTCTCTTCTTTGCTTCAACTTCCATACGTATCTCATCATCCTACCATAACGTATTATTTTTCCTTTCATTCTTTCTCTTACTAACACCACATACTTCGGTAGCTGCATCCACTAAACTTTTCATTACATTTCGCCATATATTCTCCAAGTCTAACTCCTTCATACATAATTCATCAAAACCACTTATATTTTCTTTCAGTCTACATTTGAACTTGTTTTTATCACTTTCATCTTGTAACCTTTCTATTCTAATACTCTGTAACGCAGTGGTAGACACAGAAGATCGATGGCGCCAACGCCTGAATAGACCATTAATTCGGCTTAAAACTAAATAATGATCCGTTCCTACGTTAGAACCCCGGTAAACTCTCGTATCTACCACTGCGCCCCTCAATCTTTCATCCACAATTATGAAATCTATCATGCTTCTATCGTCACCTCTTTCCCAAGTATACATGTGAATCCTCTTGTGGCGAAAGCAAGTGTTCGTCACAAAAAGATTCTTTTCTATACATACGGTGAGGAGACTTTCACCATTCTCATTTATACTTTCATCACCAAACGTTCCCAATATCCTTTCATA